TCTTTCTTCTTCCTTCTCTATTCCTGTGCTTTGAACATGCATGAGGGTACGAATCTCAGTGTTTAAATGAACCAATTGGGTGAAGAGCTGGAGCTGGGCAGTCAAACTGCTATGTGTTTTCTATTATTTATTTTTTCTTCCCGCGCTTACCTGACGCGCGTCTTTGTGAGCAGGGTGGTCGACAATTCCTTGTACCGTCTCTTTTTTTTCTTTGCATTTGTTTATTTATGCCGGCGTTCTCCCTCCCTCCCTCTTGCTTTCTTTTTTTCTTTTGTCTCCCTATCTCCAACTCAATTCTACATCGCTTCCGGGCGTGGGCATGAATTTTCATTCATGCATGCGGAAACTCTGTTGACAGGGCAGGCATGAAAAAAATGCCGTTACCTTTTTTTTTTGTGTTCCCATCCCAATCCTACCCGTCAATCGTTACAACGTCTTTGTTTTCATTTTTTTTTTCGCTTGCATTGTGCGATGTATCAATTGGCGGAGGAAAAAAAGAAAGGCAATATCAACAAGACAAGCTCATACATAGGGTTGCAAAAAGAAGGGCGAGAAGGAGGTGAATTTAGGGGCAAAGCAATGGGCGAGGTGTGTAGGGGTGGTGATTACGAATTCTTAAAAACATGACGACTGACTAATGTAAGAGATGAAAAGAGTGGGACGGACGCGGAGGGCTGTGTGTACCATCATCCAGACAAGCGATGCATATCGAGAAATGAAAAATAGACGGCAAACTCAGGGGCCAAAACAAAAAAAAACCTGATATTGAGTTCAGTTGAGAAATAGAAAAGACAGAAGTGTGGGGTTGGATGAAGTATTGAGAAGGAAGACGGGACGGAAAAGAGCTAACTTTCGCCTCGAACTTGGAAGAAGGACCGGATGGACACGGTGCGCGTGCGCGTTTTTTTTTTGTATACTGCTTTTTTGTTTTCACTTCGCGCCATTTTTTTCCATAGGCTCTTTTGAAAGGGGTGCGAGAGGATTTAAAGTGAGAAAGACAGAGAGAGAAATGAACGCGAGACACATAGAAGAGTAAGAGAAACACAGACGAGAGAAAGGGGGGGTTGAAAAGGGGTGAACACAGAGGCTGGAGTGAGTTGAATGAGAGTCATTGTTGTTGTTGCTCTCTTGGTCATACACAGACACAGGACCAGTTCAGTCCTCTTTTCGGACATATTATGAACCAAAAAGGGTCGTCTCTTTCATTACCCCTGCTGGGTGGTTTTCTTTATGTTTTTCAATATCATTGACTATTATCTGCGAAGTCGCTGGTATTGAGTTGACGTCCTTTCAACATACACTCCCTATTTTCCTCCCTCTCTTTCTCTCTCTCGCCTCTCTTCTGTCTCCTTGTTTTATTTTCTCACCCTTCGAGGTTCAATTGAAATGAATTCGTTCATTTTCTTCCTCTTCTCCTATCCATTCTCGTCGCATGCTGACTTGCTACGATCTCATCGTCTCCCTTTTTTTATAACTCTTTGGAGAAAAAGGGCGGCGGAGGAGAGAAGAGAGTGAGTGCGGAGAATGCGGCCTGACCGGGAACATAAGAATATTTGAGAGCTTGGAGTGGGGGCGACAGTGCGTTATTATGAGTTGTGGAATATGTGAGAGCTGTGGATCTCTCTCTCTCTCTCTCTCCATCTCAGACAACATGCACCATTTCTCGTGTCATCTTCCATCCCCCTCCATCCCTTGCCCTTCTTCGCTGTCAGAGCAAAAGGAGAAAAAAAGAGTCTAACTTTGAGGATGGCGAAGAAGGAGAAGGAAGGAGGGAGGAAGGGATGTAGGGCAAACAGACAGACACAACAAACAAAACGAGTTTGAGAGAGCAAGGACGGCAAGAAATTGGTGATGATGATGAGGAAAGGGAGACATCAAGGGGCGAGAGGGAAGGAAGACGAAGAAAAAATGCAAAAAAAATAAGGGAGGAAGTGAACACAAAGAACAAACAATGTACAAGAGAGAAAATAGCATGGCGTCCAATGGTGCATACCCTGCAGCAATATTATTTTCTCAAGACAGTTGCAAGGGTTGTCGGTGTTGCTATTCTTATCATTGTTCGGTTGAAAGGCAAGCAATCGAATGCATGGCTCTCCCGACTGACAACGATCGTTCTTTTTATTTCTCTATTCTCATGAAAAGGGTGTGCGGATTTACTTACAAAAAAGGCGAAGCTGGATTATAATGAATGAGAGTTGCGCGTCTCTGTCTTGTTTTTCTTGTTTGCATGTTTCTCTTCTTCCTCAGCCTCTTTCTCCGTGACCCTATTTTTCCTTTTTCATTCTCTTTAATGTCTTTCTATTCAATGGAGCTGCGTCTTGTTGTTATTCATTCATGTCGATATATTTTTCCCGCCCAACATTTTTTGTATGGAAAGAGACTGTCGCGAAGCATTTCTCTCCCTCTTTTTTTTTTTTGGTTTTCCTCTCATCTTTCGCTTTTTTCTCTTTTCTTTCTTTTGCCTTTTTTTCTTCTTCCCTGCTCTGATAATATTTCCAATTGCGTTTGCAGTGCATCGCCATACCGACCTGTTCCCCTTCTCCCTTTCTCTCTGTACTCCCTTACCTTCCCCTTTCCTCCTGCCGTACCCTGCCTTGCTTGCGTACAAAGAGACAATATTTTTTCCCGCCTTTCTTTTCATTTCTCCCTTCCCTTTCCTCACATTTGCCTGCCTTTCTGAATCCAGCTTGGCCCTTTTATACGCACGGTAGCGTTCGTTTTGCTCACTGTCTCAGTCACAAACATGTTGCCTGCTTCATCGTTTTCTTCAACAGCTGGACGTCGTTTTTGTTGATTTTCTTGTAGAATTGTCTGGCGGTGTTGCGCTCTTCGCTTTTTCTTTTCTTTTCTTTTTTTCATTTTCTTTGTTGAATTCGCCGAGGAACGAAACCGGACGCGCCTTTTTTTTCCTCTTTTTTCTTAGTTTACCAATTGGAACTGTCTCTCTCGTTGTTGTTGGTGACCCTCTCTCCCCCCTCTTTCCTCGCTCCCGTTCGGTGCTGTCGCCCTTTATTCATTTTCTTAAACAATCAATTCAGTTGTTTAAAACAGAGTAGTCGAGGCTTCTTCTTGACCTGACTACAGTTTGAATTTGTGTTGTGAGTGTGTTCTGGTGCCCTTACCACTGGCCCATTTTTTTTTTTCATTTGTAACCTCGTGCTCGTGCCAGCCCATTTTCAATTTCTTCTTTTCTTTTTCTTTCTCTCTCGTTGCCACCTCTTCAGCCCTCTTTCTTTCTTTCTTCATCCACTTCCCTTCCCCTCGCCCTATTCTGCATTCTCATTCACATCTTCCTCTCATTGCATTACCCTTTCCTTCCTCCTTCTTTCATTCCATCTCTCGCTCATTCAGTCATCTCTTTCTGCATTGTTTTCATTATTTTTTTATTTCTGTTTGCTCTGTGCTTCCATATTTTACCCTTTGCCTCCATCCCCCTCTGCGTGTACGTGCTTGCATTCGTATCCTGCCGAAACCCTTTATATTGTACATAATCTCACTATCCTTCCCTTCTCCTTCTACCCCACCTCTTCTACTCCCTTTTACTTCGTCGTCTTCTCTACCTCTCTCTTCTATTTCCCTTCTTCGTCTCAACCCTTACTCGCTCCACTACCTTTCCCCCTACCTAACACAACCCCAAAACACCAATCCAATCTGTAGATGGATGACTTTTATGACCGCCTGCTGGGGATGTCGTTTGAGCAGTCGAACGATGCCATTACGAAATGCCGCGACCTGGCGCGAGAACACGGTTTCACCGTCAAGCAAGAAACCAGCTCCAACAAGGTAATCAATCCGTCAATCACCTTCTTCGTCAATCACCTTCTTCGTCAATCACCTTCTTCGTCAATCACCTTCTTCGTCACAGAACAACTCTATCAGTCTTGGATTTGTCTTGATCAATCCTTTTACATGTCTTCGATCAGTGATGGGTGGGTGGAGTACCTTTGAAGGCAAAAGAAAGAGGGTGGGTTCTGGTTGTTGGTAAAGAAATGGGGTGGTTATGAACGACGAGTAGTGTCAGTTCGCTGCTCTCAGTCTTGTTAATATTCTGGGGTTTTACTCGACGACGACGCTTAATGGTTGGGAGGTTGGCAGGTTGACAATTGTTTATTTTGTTTGTGTTTGTGTGCTTTACTGTACTCGTTCACTCTTTCGTCTTGCTGCCTTGCTTGGGATTGGGCGTGGGGAATGGATATAGAAAAGGGAGGGAGTACTCTCGTGGTCATACATTTGTTATACATATTTATCGCAGTGCGAACTGGATTATCGGTCTGCCCCTCGCCCTTTCTTCTCCCTCCATCTTGCCCTCACTCTTTTCTTCCTCTCACTTCTTCCCTCTCTCGCCCATCATCCCTCTCTGCTTACTCTTCTCTCTTCGCACACTCGCTTTTTCCTTGCTTTGCCTTACCTCCTTCCCCTCGCATACTCTTTATTCCCTCATCATCCTACGTTGACTCGGTCAATTCTCTTTTTCAACTTGATGTACTGTACTCTGTTACCTGTAGTCTGCGCCCCGAGAGATAGGATCCCTCTCCATCTTTCTTCCGTCACCACACCCACACAAACTCTCTCTCTCTCCCCTCAATCTTTCGTCCCACCTGTTCATCTTGGGTGTCCTGTGCTCTCCTCCCTCTTGCATTACTATCATCTTTTTTTGTATTATTACGTTTTCTCTTTCTCGTTTATTATTTCCCGAGGGCTTTATCCAGTCAGCAGCGTGCATTGCATTTGATCGCTTGCATGAGCAGTAACGTTGTAATAAGAGCAAGAAGAGTGATGAAAACACACATACACAACGATTAGTCAGATGAGGTAGCAGTGGACAGGGCGAGGAGGTCGATCTACTCTTTTATACTATTGGTGTCACTCTGCGTCTTGGCCGTTTTTTTTTCGTTAATATTTGTTCCGTTCGTACGAAAAATAAGTGAGTGGTCAGCAGGCAAATAAAAAGGAAGTAAGAGACGAACGAGGAAGTAGGGGAGATGACCCTGCCTCGACTCATGTGGACTGTGTGCGGTATGTGTGCCCTGTGTTTAGTAAGGGTAGCAAGTCATGTTGTAACTCTCTGTGTGTGAATTACGTGCATGTTCTTCAAGGTGTGTGGGAGTCAAAGGAAAGATGGAAAGGAAAGAAAGATGACAAAAAAAGAGTGCCAGGGGAAGGAAGTGGCCTCAAGTGAATGAAAGGGGGTGAAGTGAACAATACAATTGCCCTTGGCCACAAACACACGCTCCCATGGACAAACAAACAAACCAGAAAAAAAAGAAGCGGGAAAGAATAGACACTATTTGCTGTACAAGGGGAGGGAAACAAAAGAAAGAAAAAAAAAGAAAGGGGAAGCGAAGCAGGGGAGAGAAAGAGATAGAGGCGAGCACGACCCCATCCTTTTATACTTTTCACAAGTACCCTTGTTGTTTCTCTCCCCTTCAATCCATCCTATTCTCCCCTTTTTCGCTCTTTGCTTTTTGAATTACAACCGACCATTGTTAACCTGTGTTTGTGCTATGCTCACAAAAAAGCAAACGAGAGCAGAAGGAGAAATGCGATGCGATGGAGATCCCAATTCCATCCCATCCCAACCATTGGACAACACGAGCGCGAGGGGGGCGAAGAGGTTAAAGGAAAGCCGATCTAAACCACCACCAAAGCATGGTCTATCAGGGCATAGCATGACATGGTGGCCCATACTTGCGTGTTTGTTTACTTCATCCTTGCGGCTGTTTGTATATCGTTTTGTTTGCTACCACCTCCTCAAACACATACTCGTGTTACGGACATTGGTCCACCCCTCTTTTCTCCTTCTTCCTCAAACCCTGCTGTCCATTCCTTCCCCTGCAATGCTTTTGTCGCCCCCTTTTGTTCTTTTTTTTCCTTCTTTCTTTGTTTAAACCCCAACCTTTTTTCACCTCTCTCTTTATCCCTTTTTTTATTGTTCGCCAACACACAGACATTAACCCTCCCCTCGTCTCTACTATCATTCCCACTTTCCTTTCTCTTTCCCCCTCTCCTCTCACAAATAGAACGTATACCTGTATTGTTCGCGCGAAGGAGTACCGGACTCGGTCAAGAACAACAAGGAGATTAAGCGGAAACGACTGTCGATGCGCTGCGACTGCAAGTGGCGAATCACCCTTTTCCAACAAGAATCAAAACTCTGGATTTTCCGCAAAGCCATGAACCCAGCTTCGATGGTCCACAACCACCCCCTTATCTCGCCCGACGACATCCGTCAGCCCTGGCCGGCCACCGTCTTTGACCGCATTGCCTTCTACGCCAACCAACGCAACCTCACCACGTCCGAGACTCGCGAGCGGATCAAGGAAGACTTTCCGGACCTTGTCTGGGACGAGCGACGGTTCTATAATCGACTCACCGAGGAGCGGAAACAGATCCGGCTCCGGGATTCTGAGAGCCGTGTCTTTTCGACCATGGACCTCGCTGCAAGAGTTGCCAGCCTGGCCAGTGCCGACCCGTCGTTGTCGTACAAGGTCACGTCGAGTCTTGAGAACGTCTTGGTTGAGATCTGCGAGCAGCTCCGAATTGACCCTGCCGGTGCTGGGTCCCGCGTCTTGACATCCCCACCTTCCTCTGCTGGCGGAGGAGGATCTGGTGGTGTTGTTGGCGGTGGTATGAATGCTAACACTGGTAGTCTTGGCGGTGTCGGCTCGATGAACATGACGTCCCCCACAAGTGCGAGCTCTGGCTTTTGCCCTTCGTCCTCAAACTCTCCTCTCAGTCCTTCGGACTATGTTGTCACCTACCCCGGCTGCGTCATCTCTGTCAAGAATACACCCAACCAAAAGGGCAGACCATCGTCCATCTCGTCCCCTGTGGTCGACTCGTCCTATGGCCTTGGTCTTGGCATGTCACCCCTGAATGACCGCAAGCGGTCCTTGAGTGAAGAATGCTTCACTCGCCATGGCATCGGTGGATCCGGCCCCTCCGGCGCAGCCCCTTCATTTGGATCGGCCATGACGACATCTCAGATGATTAGTCAGCTCGACATGTCGACCACGCCGCTGCAGGGAGCGCTCTCTGGACTGGATTCCTCGGGCCTGTTGATGATGCAGAGTGGTGGCTACCATCCTCATGGTCATCCACACCAGCAACACCCGCATCAAGTCCATCCGCAACAGCAACAACAGCAGCAGCAGCAGCAGCAACAGCAGCAACAGCAGCAGCTCTATCATCAGCAACAGCAGGAATCTCAACAGCATCATGGTGGACACCATCTCCCCTCGGGCATGGCCACTGCCTTTCGTCCCGCACAGGCTCACCACCACTCCCAACATCAGCAGCATCATCACCCACACCACCCTTTAGGATCAAGCAGCGACCTCTCGTCTGCACTCGACCTTGACGCTGCCGAAGCTATCGCTGCCTCTCGCGCCGAACCCAGTTCGTCCATGCGCCGAACACACTCTGTCGACATCAAGCAAGAAATGCAGTCCTTCTACCAACCCATGCTGGCCACCCCTCAGCTCTCGGCACCCCCTCAACCCCAACGACGCTCCGGAAGCTCCCCTGGTACTATGAACCCCAACCAGCATCAACAACAACAACAGCAACAGCAACAGCGTCTCTACTCTCAACAGTACACTTCTGGTGGTGCCGCAGGGTTCCCGTCCTCGAACCAGCTCGGAGACTCGGATGATGTCTTTAACAGTTCGGTCTCGTTCTCTGCAGCAGCGACCGGAGGTGGCGCAGCGGACCAGTACCATTTCAGTGCTGGACAGCATTCGTCGTCGGGATCGTCGTCCGGTCATCAGGGAGGCGGTGGCGGTGGTGGACACCATTACTTGCACCCTGGATATGCGAACCCTCAGACCTCTGGCAGTCCTACCATGAGCGCCGGCGGTGGTTCTTCTTCCTCTGTTGGTCCACACTAAGCTTTAATTGGTAAGTCTCTATACTTTGCATATAGCTCTGCTTTTTTGGTACTCGAGCGTTGCGTTTGAATCGCTACTAAAGTTACTCCACTTTGCCATCCTATCATCTAGATGCAAAAAGGAAGACTCACCCACTAAGCTAGTCTCGGTGACACAAGTCCACCATCATCCACAACGAAACAACGAAAACCCTCAAGTTTGGGGTAGTGGATCATGGGTCATTTGAACAACTACGAAACTTCTTTCTTTTTCTTTCCTTCTCTCCTTTCATTGCAATCTTCTTCCTTCTCTCAATCAGCATCACCTTCTTTTCATTGCTTTTTTTTCGCGTAGTATCTTTCTTTCTCCTTTCCTTCAATGCATTAGTCTCGCTTATATCTTTTTTATCGTGCTCACTTTTACTTTCTACCTTCCTCACCACCTGCCTCCTGTCTACTTTCGCTCTATCTGCCATCTTTTGCTTTTCTGTAAATAAGTCCCGTATTAATTAAAGGCCCTCCTCCTCTTTCTTTTTGCACCTGCAAAAAAAGCAATACAACGTTCTAACATTTCGAAGGGGGGCCAAACTGTCCCATGGCTAGGCTTAGCAAAGGGGGTTTCTTCACCCCCATGTTGGTCCATCACCATTCCCCCCCTCCTCTTTGGGGTTTCGAACGGCCTAGGGCCAAGGGAATGATCTAGGAGTGAATTTCGCGGCACAGTTTTTGGCTACATCTTTTCTTGCCCATAACTCGCCGACACACTCAGGGAGCTAAGAGGTATCTTTGTAAGCAAAAAGTAAATGGTGTATGCAGGTGCAAGATTATGTAAATTAATGCAAGGAGCGGGGACAGGCGTCTAGAGCGAGCAAAAACTGACTTGATGCCTTACTGTTCATCTCGTTTTTTTTTTTTTTTTTTTTTTTTTTTTTTTTTTTTTTGGTGGTTGAATTCTGTCCTTATCCTGAGCAAGGTGGGCTCATTTGATGAACGTTCTAGACCCCGTCGTTGCGCGGGGTTTGGGGCGTTGACTGGAAGTACTTTTAGTGTGGTCGAGGTAAAAGATGTGAAGGGGCTCGACTGTCAGCTCTGGCACCTCCTGCTCTTGCTTGTTTGCTACGGTCTTGTTTTTTTTTTGAGTTGCTCGACATCTCCTGCGCACAAGTTTATCGCTTGTGCTTGTTTTTTCTTCTTGTAAACAAACACAGCCTCTCCCTCCGCCTTCTTCCACCACCCACGCATAAATACTCTCTAGTCACTATCACTTTACTCTTTTCTCTCGAAACAACAACAACACAACAAACTATAATCCGCAAGTTCACAACAAGCCTCCTCGTGGCTATCCTCGCCCACAACTCATTTCGTCCTCGTCCACGCGTGCCCCAATCCCTATTCCAAAACCCAATCACCATCGATCTACCTGCTGTCGTCGCATATTTCTCACCCATCTGAATACAACAGCGACTTGACGTTCGAGTACAATGACTTTATCGGCACATCATAAATAATCGCACTTCTTTCACCTCCATACCGTTTATCCTTTGCCCTTGTTTACAAGCGAGGTCATTTGTAATAAAAAAACCCCCCTCGGCTTTATTTTTGTGGCCTGCACGAAAACACGTCCTTCTTCAACATTGCTTGAGACGTTGTGTATATAGGGGGGGTGGGGTCAATTATAAGTTGTAAAGCAAACAAACTATAAGGGTTACGGGTGAAAGTCAAAGGTGGCGATGGTAATGTGCATTGTGAGTAAGAAGAAAGAAAAGGACAATGATGATGAGGAGGAGGAGGAAGTGGAGAGAGGGGAAGAGTAAGAGGTGAAAAGCTTTTTGAGGATCAGCCGTCTATCTAGGATTACTCTCGAGAACATTGTTCAAGGTGTTGAGAACATCGAGCACTATGGACACCCATTTTCAAGGACGTTGTTGAATACCTATACCCTGGGTCAGCGAACCGCCAGGCTGATTGAGCGCGGCCTTGACGAAATCAGGCATACTCTTGAAAGGCTTTAAGAGTTCTACCAATGGGTTGTTGAACGTGGCTTAGTGCGCCCCACAGCCACTACCACCGTCGCGCTTGGTGACGGTGGGGGTGCCGACGGGAGCTGCTTGGAGCGGCGATGACGACGACGGTCAGTGCTAATGTCATGGACAGAATAGTGGCGGGCTTGTAGGTTATTATTTTTCTTGGAGGCTATGCAAGTGTGTCTAGAAGAAGGGGAGGAAGAGGAGGAAAGGATTGCGAAAAGCCAAAAGAATGATATTGTGGGTATCTAAGAGAGAACGAAAACCAATGGGGGACGCTGTTGAATAGTAACAGCCCCTTCCTTTTTTTTTCTGGCACAGTTGCATTTATTTCTCACTGTGGCATCTCATCATGCTCATAAAAATACGTTACTTCCCCTAAGCCTCGCCCAACTTCAAGCCAAATACCCTCCTCACTTCTAGTTCTTGCGAGTCATCAACTCGCGAACCACCGGCTTCGCCAGTCGCCGATCGCCGCGTCTACAATCCTACACGGTCAACGACCTACGAGCCCGAGTACAAAAATGACGGTTTGGTTGTTCAGTGGCAACCCCAGGTTCGATGACTTAATTACACCAGCGGCTTTTTGTCGGCACTTCGTTCACATAAGCACACACGCACTTCTTGTTTTCCTGCCATTGTACAGTAGCACCACAACAGATGGAGAAAGAATGTGGAGGTTTCTTTATTTGTGCACAAGAAAATTCAAGTAGGATGGCTGGCTGTGTCACAAAACGGTGTACCTTTGCGGTGTGGTCGCACAGGTAATGATTAGGGACTGGAAGGATAACCGGATAGCCGGATGGCTGGATGAGGAAGGAATTTGTTTAGAGTTTAAGGCGAATCCTCTCCCCCATCCCCCTTCCTCCTCCTCCTCTTTTTACTGCCAGGGTTGAAACGCGGGCGCCCTAGCTCACTCCCTTTCACAACCAAAAAGTCGTTGTTGTGCATTTCGATTTACAAGTGGCTTATGACAGCGTACATTAGGCTATCTACACGAATAGGGAACCTCACGTTTGCGCCACCGTAACCAGCCTCACCACCCGCATGCTTGACAGCAACAACAGGCATGGAGTTGGTGTTTTCGCCGGCGGAGGTGGACTTGATGTGGGGTCGAGAATGGCAGCAATGGTTGCTACTTGATCCGACTGGAGGAAGACGACAAAGAGGAGGACGATGGCCAGTGCTACCATAGACATACGCAAGGTGGGCTTGTGGGTTCTTGTGGCGTGGGCGGTGTGAGTCATGCTTTTGACTTTTTTGAGAAATGGGAAGGATTGAGTCGGTAGGTGAAAAGAATGAGAAGAGACGGAAAAGAAGAATTAGAGAAGAAAACGAAAAAGAGAATGATATAAGAAAACAAGGAAAGACGAGCAAAAAAAAAGGGAGAAGGAGCAATCTTGAGCGCTGTCTCCACAATCTGGTTCTAACACACATGCCTTCCATATTTTTTTTTCTGAATTGGACTCATTCATTGACTTGCCAGTCTTTTGACCCCGCTTGGCGTTGACCGAATTGAATTCCTTCAGTCCTCTCTTTTTCCTCACCTTCTTGATTTTCGCGCAAAGCGGGTGCCCGATTGAGCGACATTGCGACATAACGTAAAATATACGAGGCGTTAAACTTGTGCGATGGAGTTGAAATGAATGAAGGAACCATTTTATCAACGGCGTTTCACCCTACCCTCTTGTTACCACCAAGAGCGACGACTGTCCTTTACACAGACCATCCCTACGCGTGTTTGTCGCCCAGTCTCTCCAGCAGAGTCAGCACCCGCCTAATTTTCTTCTCCCCAGTCACCCACCTTGACAGATCTCGCGTAGACGCGCTACACGTAAAGCTCGGCGCACATTCTTGCGCTATTTCTGCTTATTCGGTCTATCCATCAATAATTGAATATCGAAAAGTTGCGTGTGGTAAGCGTCTTTTTCTTTCAATCGACGCGACGCGTGCATGTTGCATTGGCTCTGGCTGCGTTTGAGGATACTATGTTTCTCTTTCGTTTTATTCACAAAGGTGGCTACTGGGTTATTTTGTTGATATTGAGCATCAATGGACCACAAGACGGGACTGGCCGCTTGGGTTGGACTGGGGGGTGAACTTTTGAGAGTGGTAGAAGGAATATGGTGAAAAAAGGGGAGAAGTAAAGATGTGAAGAGAGTGAAATCAAGGAAAGGAGCCGCAATAGAAAAGCGATATCCAAAAAAAAAAAAGTAAAAAGAGCAGCGAGCTTAGATCTCATGAATCCCGGAAGAGTTTTGAAGACCACTTGTCGAAGTTGACATGGCCCGACGATCGAGTTCCCGCCGGACATGGCTCATGCCCATCTCATCACCCAAAGTCATCGACCCCATCTCTCCCGATGACTTTCTACTACCGCTGCCGTTGTTGATATACGCAGCCAGGTTACTATTGCTGCCCTCCCTCGACAAGTAACTTCCTAATGTTCCTCCGCCTCCGCCGCCTCCTCCTCCTCCTCCATTCGGAGACGCGAATCTAGAATGCCGTCCTCCAAACTGACTTGTTGCCGTCGTCACTCCTGAAGATGGCCCACGATGGCTCCCCACTGTAAGACGCGTCCGGCTCCGATGTTGTTGCAAAGTGGGTCCTGAGAAGCGACGTCTGCTCCTGTTCCATTGTCTCGACCGCGAAAAGATGGGCTTGAGGTACCGATCGTCGAAAGATAAGAACCAATGCGTGTCGTCTGGGTGGTTGGCGGACGCAACAGGAAGTGGCAGAATGGTGTTGTCGCGGTATCTTCCCCCTGCTGACCCATTCGACGATCCCGATCCGCCTGAACCGCCTGAGTCTCCTGATCCTGCAGATCCACCGACATAGTCATCATCCGATGGTCTCGACTGGAGCGACAGCTCTGAGTTGGAGTACGATGGTTGGAGGTAAAGTGCCTGGTTCTCCGTTCCGCGTCCGTGGATGTCCTCAGACAAATAGATCTCCCGCTCGCGGTCATAGTCCTCGTATCCGTCCTCCTCATCGCTCTCCCCCTCAGAGTCGACACATCCAATCTTGACTCCCAAGATCGCCAACATCCTGGCTGTGGTGCCTCCAAAGATAATGACGGATAGCACAACAACAACCAGGATAGTCGTCTTTAACGCAGCCGCCTCATTCACACCATCTAATCCTGCGGCCAACGCAAAGGCGACCGCTCCACGAAGTCCTGCCCAGAATAACATGACCTGATGAGGACGAGAAAGGGTGTCGGATCGCTTGAGGACATAGACCGAGACCATGTTGATTAAAGACGACAAGGGGAACACGGCCGAATATCTCGAGATGCAAATGAAGATCTTGATGGGTCATTTCGAAAAGGGAGCGCGAGAGCGTAATGGGGTTAGTTGGTGGTCGAAAAATCACACGACCATCGCTCACAAAAATAAAAAGGGCAGCCAGACACCTGCAATGGGCACATTTCTCGTTCTTTTTCTTTTTCTGTGGAACCATACAACAGCTTCGATGATGATGATGGCAATGCCGACTTACAAAGGTAAACATGATGAAGAGCGGCTTGTAGTCCAGATCTGTCTCGGTGAAGAGGGTCAGCCCAAGGTAGATAAAGATAAAGTTCTCTGACAGCTGCGCAAGAACCTGGAACAAAGACTTTGTCGTCCTCTTGGACCGACTCGACATGCTCTCGTATGCATAGTGCTTCAGAGTAATACCGCAGAACAGCAATGATACAATTCCTATGAGGTGTTGAGAGTTGGCGATGGTTAGCTCATGTCCTATTGGCGGCTGAAGATTTTTTTAGGCGAAGGCTTGGTTTTGCAAACGTGGCGCGCTCTCTGCATTCTTTCTACGCCAGATCTTTCTCAACGGCTGTTTTTCCTTTTTCCGGACTGTGCACATGATCAATGGCTTATCGACATCCCCTGTCCTATCTGCCAACAAGCCCTGTCTTTCCTGCGTTCATCCCTGTACCCACGCCACAAATGCCAAGAATTCATCCCAGGTATATATCTATATTCACAGACCTCCCGTATGTCCCGTTCGCGCTATTCATCCCGGATAATCTTCCTCCATCAAGACATATACGTACCAGAGAGATGAATACTGTTGGAGAAAAAGTAGGAGGCATATGCCATGAGGGCGATGAGACATGACTCGAGTCCAGGGTAGAGATGGATGTTGGTCCTCTTGAGTGCCAATGCCGCAATCAGTCCGATAATGCATCCGATGGCTAATGAGACACAGAACACAAAAAAGAAAGTCGACACTCCGTGCAACACGTTTCCTAGATGAAATTCTTGTCCCCTGTACTTCTTTAGCGTCCTATCAAGTAGATGGGGTTACAGATAAGGCGCGTGTTAGTGTGTCAAATATATCCCATGCATCTAAGTATTCTACACAGCATCGCCCATCCTCTTTTCCTGTGTGTCGACAAAGGGAACATGGGATCTGCCCCTTGATTCCATGCGTGTTTCTCCTCGTCTCCAGTTGCCAACGCGTAACCATTGTTTCCTCTCCCTTTCCCCCTTATCCTTCTGCCTCCTCTCCCATGATAACGATTCCCACTTACTCAAACATGACGATGGAGACGGCGTCGTTTAGGATACTCTCTCCAAAGATGACCGAGTACAACTTGGGGTCGACCTTGAGCTGGTTAAAGATAGCAAGGATCGTCACTGGATCTGTGGCCGACAGGACTGATCCAAAGATCATCGAGTCCAGAAAGCTCAATTGCAACGATTCTAATCCTGTCAGCGATAGCAAGTACACCAGGATTCTATTTGAAGGATGTGTTAATGCGGGCAAAGGGCGTAAGGGCACAGAGGTGTAAGTGGTGCTAGTCCGCAATTTCGTGGGCGTGACGAACTGGTTTTTTCTTCGTCTTGGCACAGCCCTTCCAGAACAAACACAGGTAATCACACACAAACAAAGAAGACCGCACATGGAAACACTACCTCGCAAACAAACAAACAAAAAGAAAACTTACCCAACAACGAGCGCAGAGATAAAAGTCCCCACAAACGCAAACGTCAGAATACTGCCCAGGTTCCGAAAGAACCTCGCCTGCTTCATCTCATACCCAGAGTTCAGAATGATGGGCGGCAACAGCAGGTTGAAAAAATAGGTATGCTTGAACGTCACCATGTCCTGGACCATCCTCCCGGGAGCCATACGAATTATGAAGCCAACGAGCATGCCGGTCATGATGGAGATGACGGTCTCGTGGATGGCAGTGATCTTGCGGACTTGGAGGTAGTAGGATGTCCACATGGCTCCGATCAGCAGGACGGTGAGGATGAGGAGTGCCCAGGACGAGTACAGCTCTTCCACCTCTGCGGGCGGTGCGTTGTCGTCCATGGTGGTTCTGCTGCTGTCTCTTTCTTAGAGGGGAGAGTTGGAGAAGACGGTGCCCTTGTATGTTTTGTGGTGCAAGTGTCTGGTGGGGTATGAGAGGCTGTATGTACGTGGTGTTGTTGTTGTTGTGTTCAGGGTTCAGGGCTGTAGTTGCTGAAGGGTATATGAGCGATGGTCTAGGGATGTGTATGTGTCCTGTGCCAGAGAGACCTGCTGTGTCCTGACGGTAATAACGGTGGTGATGGTGGTTATGGTAACAAAGAGGGAAGAGGGATGATGGAGGAGTGAAGAGAACAAAAAGTGGAAGTATGCAAAGAACAAATAGGAAGCAAGCCAATAAAGCCAACCAACCAACCAACCAACCAACCAAAGGGACTAGATGTACTAATAGCCCAAGGACCTGCTCACGTATTTTGTTCTCACCCAACCTTCCCTCCCTTCCTTCTCTCTTCTTTAACCCGCTCTCCTCCATCTTACCCTCTCCTTGAACCCTCTTACTCTCTCGCCTTTGCATACTGCCCTATTCTAAATACCCTTCCTCGACGTTGTCCATTCGAGCTCCAGGAGGAATGAAACAGTGGTCTGTTGCCCGAGGTTGTTCATTGCGACCGGGTTTTTTTTTCATGTTTACCAAAATTTATGCCTGGTCTCCACCAGAGTCGCTTTAATCATGCCAATACGCAGGAAGGTCGTGGCGTTAGACATGGGTAAAAAAGAGAGTGAAGGACAACGTTGCATATTAAAACGAGAGCGATTGTTGGATTTTTATTTTTGGACCCGTCAAAAGACAAGACAAAAAGGTCTTTACCGGCGATTGCGCCTTCATATCTTGTATCTTTCACCGTGCACATTCTTAGCCCTCCACCCAACCTGTGCAACCCTCCTCGCTCACTCATCATACTAATACTAAAACGGTCACCATCAAACCGACTTCACTCCCAGCGCGACTTCTTGGTGCGTCGAGTCTCATCACTCTGTCCTGCTGCTCCTCCACCTGGTGCTCCTGCTGTCGGTGCGCCTCCTCCTCCTCCAACGTCTCGCTTGACAGTCGATGCTCCGGCTGCCGAGACCTGGGGTCGATGCGGAAGTGGATGCACCCTAAGTTGCGGTGTCGGTGGTAGCTGGTGTTGAATCTGATGCTGATGCTGATGCTGATACTGATGCTGCTGCTGCTGCTGGGAAGGACCATTGGAACCCATGGTCACCTGCGGAGGTGGTGGCAGGCTATGAATCCCACCACGGCCACGACCACGCCCAACTCCAAAATCATCCTGGTCCATATCGCCCCCTCTGCCACGTCCTCTTCCACGTCCACGTCCACCGCTTCCAATACCACCAGCATGATGTCCACCACCGCCACTGCCGCCACCACTACTGCCCAATCCACCCCGTCTCGGCAACGCCTCGCGTCCATCCTTCCCAACAGGTTCGATATTGGGTTCTATGACCGACACACCACCACGAATGGCCTCCCCAGGTCCAAACCCGCCCACAACACTATTTGCCAACCACCTCCTATCAGTATCCGTCAACCTCTCGAGTGGGATCACACTAGTACCCGTGGTATAATCAAAACAATCCCTCGGCCCGAACCCACAGCCCCAATTGACCTTCATGACATCGCCTTGGACATGTGTGCCTCCGAGTTCGGCTTTGCATCGTTCTGCGTCTGTTCGGTCGGTCATCTTAATAAACGCGTTGAACTTGGCTTGGTTGATCATCAAGGTAGCGATCTTACCCCTCGGTGTGAAGATGCCCTCCAGCTCTTGTTCTGAGATCGAAGGGATAAACGATCCTCCCACCCATAGTGTCCTGCTTATCACTATGTCAATTAAAAGGAGAAGGATAAAAAACGTTAGCATACATGAAGGGAAAATGGGAAGTAGCAATTGACCAATCAAAAGAACATAAAGGTTACCTCGAATGTGGTCGGGACTGATAGAGGGATCATCCTTGACACCATAGCCCTGTCCATGTCCCTGTCCAGCCGAGGAACCATTAGGACCAAGACGGTGATGGCTGCTGCTACCCTTGTCCTCCATACCACCGCGATGAGGAAGAGGGTATCCGTCCTGACCGCCATTCACTCCTCCTCCTCCCTGTCCTCTATTGTCACCCCATGTTCCTGCACCTATTTGTTGCTGGTGTGGCTGTGACCCTCCCTCCTTCTGATGAATCCCATTCATAAACGACGCCAGCTGGGCCATCGCATGTCCATCCAGTCCACCCGCCGCACCAGGACCAGACTTATTCCCTCCTCCCATGCCGCCTTTAGCTCCGACATCTCCTAGACCGGCGTTCCTCATCAGCATCACTGCTCCTTGACCATCTAACAATGAGCCCATGTGCAACGGCGGCATAGGACCCTGGAAGAGTGGCTGTGCTTGTTGTTGATACAGGGGCTGTGCTGTTCCGCCCAGTGGCTGTGCACCGCCCATACGAGGGTTCGCCCTGGGGTCCGTTGGCATCGAATGCTGTTGTGGCTGTTGTGGTTGCATCCGTGGGTCGATGGGTGCAGCACGAGGGTCCCGCGGCATCGTCCCTCCTGGAGTACCACCTAAGGCTGCTCCAATAGATACACCACCAAGGAACCCAGAGGGCAACGATGATATGGCCCCTCCTCTTCCTCCTCCTGTCCGAGGATCAATGACAGCTGACATGACAGAGGATGCTCCCGCAGTTGCTGTTGTTGTTGAGGGCGGTGGTGCAGTACTGCTGGAAACCACGGTATTATTATTTGGTGCAAAACCAAGGTTCTGCTGCTGATTGCTATTCGATAAGATCCCTTGAAGCTGCTGCAGCACCGGAGGCAGCGAAGAGGTTCCTTGAGCGGTAGCTCCATAGTCCGGCATCAACATTGGCGCGACGGCTGCTGCTCCTGCTGCACTTGGGAACCCTGGGTACCCTAAGTAATGGTGTCCTGGGGCCGAAAGCATTGTGGAAACCGGCACGGCTGCGGAGGCGGGGACTCCTACTCCTGCTGCAGCCGCCTTGACTTGAGAAACGGTCGCCAGGAGGGTTTGAAGCGCAAGAGCTGATGATGGATCCGAAATGCCCGAAAGCAGCGGGTTCACCGGTGTGTTGGTTGATGACGATGCAGTGTAAGTGTTCTCCGCTGGGTAATGGAGTGATGATGTATATGTGGGACCGGTACTGGTCGGTGGTGTCGAAGGATTGGAAGTGTTCGAGGAGACTGCCGATGCAGCTGGAGAGTTGGATGCGGCGAGGGAGGCGGCCAGGGATGTGATGAACGACGCCGCCTTGTCCACCGATGACTCATCCTTTGCTACTGCTAGAAGACAAAACATAGAATTGACATAGTTGCGATACTATCGTTAGCGAGTTGGTCCATTATGCTAGCAAGCAACAATCCACACTGCCAAAAGAAAACATGACGCAGTGCTCATGCGCGAATTAAACAAAAAGTACCTGTTTCAGCCTCTGCCGCTGCTGCTGCCGTTGTCTCTTGTTCCGCTGCTGCTGCTGCTCTCGAGATGTCGGTTTCCAGGAGCGGAAAGTACTTCTTCTTGATGCTCTCCGTCGTCTTGGCCGCAAACGTTCCTGAACGCTCCCAAATTTCCACGACGCGCTTCACTTTTTCCTACAAAGTTTAAACGATTTATTGTTGTGTGTTGGAAGGGGAGCATAACACATTCCACAGCGGTATGGAGGGGAAGGGGGGAAGGGGGGAAGGGGGGAAAGGGAAGAGAAAATGTTCAAAGCAAAAGAGTAAGCAAGCATGTTACAGAGCAAACAACTTCAACTGGACAAATATAAAGATGACCGGCGATTGTATGCGTGCATAGTGGGTTTATGTGTGAAAAGGCCTTTATTGCTCCTGAAGCTGAGCGAAGGGGGATGGTGCTACAAACGCATCCATCATGTCGTTTACGCCCGATGATACGTTCCTGTCGCTGTTGTGTGGTATGTCGATTATGTTGAAAGTAGTGGCTCGCAATCCAATGCTATTTCCATGTCCAGCGGTCCCATTTTTTTGTTAGTCCTGACATGCTGGTCTTCCTTCCATATCAACAACGTCTGTGATACTATCCTTTCCGAGAAGGAAAAAAGGCTTGTGGCGTTGTGTCCTGTCATTACAACGCCGCCTTATTCCGATGCTCCTTCAGGTCCTACGGTTGCCTCACAGTCCATGCGTGCGTAAATTATCTCCTGCTTCCCATGGCTCTAACCCCTTGTGAAGTTGGATGTGACCTAGTAGTTCTTTTTTTTTCATACCTTTTCCTTGTCCTCCACGACTTTGGTAAACTCAACAAAGAGGGCCTCGATATTCTTCTCGAACCGCGCAACATACTCAGAGCCCGTGAACGTGCCTCCTCCTGAAGAGCCCAGCTTCGTCTTGGCCGATTGAGACGTCCGACAAATGGAATCCAGTACATACAGTCCTGTCAACTTGTATTCTGGCACGCAGCGCGTAATGAACTTTTCCAGACAGTACACGATGTTTTTGTAGTACTATATGAGTTGAAAGAGGGCAAAGAAAAGGCTGTTAGATAAAGGCATTGCAGAAGTTCAGTTGCTTGTGAACCGTGCGGGTAACGGGTGGTAAGAGAGGGAAGGAGTGTCCTCCCTAAGAATACAACATAAGCCTGGGGTGCGAGTGACAAGCAAATTGAACCACAGAAGACAATCCATTGACGTACTCTGGCGGCCTTGAAGGCGAGTTTGGTGAGCCTGTCGATTTTGGAGGCAGAGGCGGTGCGGGAGTGGTCAAAGAGACCGTGGAGCTCCTTCTCGAACTCCTTGACATCAGGTGGCGGGTCTTTGCTTGTCCCACTCTCTTTGTTCGCCGACATGCTTGTTGGTGTGTAGTTGTTGATTGTGTTCGGTTGGGGGAGGAATGTATGCGTTGGTTGTGTTGCCCTTTCTGAGCTATACTTGTTAGAGCTGAAGTTGAGTTCGATGATCTTGTCCTGTTTCCTGTGGATGAAGGATGGTTGTTGGATTAATTGGGGATGATGGAGAAAGAAAGAGAAAAGGTGCTTACGGGGCAGCTGACAGTGGCAACAACATCCATTCTGCAGCGGTAGAGATAAAAAAGCAGTCGTTCCTCTCTTTTTATTTCTTTCAAACACAACTTAACCTGCTCACCTGCACTCTACTCTACTCCGCCTTCACCTCTGTTCTTCTTCTTCCTCTACTCCTCTACTCCAGCCTTCTCCTCTCAACAACCAGCAAACACAACACAAGCAGGCAGGGCAGGACGCATCACAACACAACACAATAACCATGAGTGACAACGAACGCGGAGGACCCGAGGACGACCTGTCGCTTCCCAAAGGCACGCATGCCCTTCTTCATTCCTCCAACAGCCAACCATACAACGATGAACAAACACAGTCGGAAAAAACAATAATCAAGCTAACCGACACCCATACTTTCTCCTACGCTCATTCCTTTCACAATAGCCACGGTCCAGAAGCTCATCAACGAAATGATGCCCGACGACATTGCCTGCGCGAAGGACACACGCGACCTCTTGATCGACTGCTGCGTCGGTAATCACAAAACCCTGTTTTGCTCTCTCCGTCCAACAAACAACACACAACCACAACTGCAACAAATCATACCTCCCTCCCTATACCCTTGTCACCATCATATCCGCGAACACATTGCATTGCACCCCTAACACAAGTTTTAGTCTTCTAACAGCCTTTTTTCATTTAATATCGATAAAATAGAGTTCATTCACCTGTTAGCTTCAGAGGCCAACGACATCTGCGAAAAGGAGACCAAGAAGACCATCGCCGCAGAACATGTCATCACTGCCCTCAAGGTACTTTCAATCGACCCCAATCGCTCAACAAGAACATAAACATCGAAAACAAGGGGATACAACATTTCAGGATTAGTATGCGCACCAACCATTTGCAATTCAGTCACCATTTGGGATGCATAACTAACGGCCAATTTATCTTGTTTTTTGCATTGTATAGGCATTGGGATTTGACGCATATCTGCCAGAGGTCGAAGTCGTCCTCCAGGATCACAAAACACAGCAAAGAGTCAAGGTAAAGATTTATTGGGCACATCCTCGCTGATAATATCGCAACTAGGATGGACCCTTTTACACTTGGAGGCATTGCTCAGCGGAGCAAGAAATGGAGAAAAGATAGGAAATGAGCATGGACAGATGATAGTGAATGGTGGTTCAACGACAAAACCCTATAATAGAGATTGAATTCACCTCATGATCATTTTACTAACAGCAACTACTACAATTTCTCGCCTTTTCCCCCTTCCTTTTAATTATTTACGCATCCAATTATACCACCTGCGGAACAAATCAAATCTTTCGACCAACAACCTTCACCAAACCTAACAGGACAAGGACAAGAAATCGGGAAGACTCGAGAACTCGGGCAGGTCCGAAGAAGAACTCCTCTCAGAACAGCTCCGTCTCCTCGCCGAAGCCAAGGAACGTTTCCGGACCCAGCAGCAATAAATAAACAAAAAACAACACACCATTTTTTCTACGCATTTTTTTTTTTTTTTTTTTTACCCAACGCCACACCCCTAGCAAATCAACAAGCTGACAAACATTCACTCGCCTTGCTCTTTGTTGCCCTTTTTTTTCTAGCACACACATCATTTCCCATTCTATCGCCACACATTAATTCATTTAGCAGCTTTTTCTATCAATACACTACTCATTTTTTTTCTTTCAACCACTACTTCTAAAGTGCCGTATAGAAACCGATATGAAGCTCAAAGAAGGATGTGAACATTTTTTATTAGGTGTGTTTTTTGAAATAAGGTAATAGAAGAAAAAGGAAGAGAAAAAAAAAAACTTTTGTGCTGGTCTGTCGAGCGAATAAGCAAAGGTGTTATAGTAGTGCCCAACAGGAATCCAACAGTGTGTGTTTTTACAAAGCAAATAATAAAAAAAGCGAAAAACAATGGAGAGAGGGGGAAAGAGAATGTTCACACCGGTAAGAAGTAATAAGCAAAGGTACGCAAAAAATAATTAAGTATGGGATTAATACCCATGATGAGCTCGCTGGAAGGTGGCAGACCGAGAACCATGCTCGTCATAATACCCAACACCACCCTCGTCCCGACGACGCGCCTGCATCTCGTCTACCTCCTCGCGGGAAGAGTAGCTACCTCCTTCCATCGCGAGTCCAGGAGGTCGCTCGGCACCAGCAGAGTAAGGGTACCGAGGACCACTGCCCTCATACGATCGACTGGTGTCGATGATCGGCAACCGGTGGCCAGGAGGAGACACTGACCGTCTCTCTTCCCGAAGTACCATCTTGGGATCACTCGCGTACCGAGTGCGTCTCATGGCTGCCGCATCGTAGTCCATCATGCTTTGCGATCTTGTGGGTCTGTAATCTCGTCCATTAGGGTCTCCTGAGGTCTTGATAGGGGGTGGGATCGATCCTGAAGGGTGTTCCCGCTCGTGGAACGATCCTCCGCCGACGGAAGGCGCGGGGTACATCCTGTCGACTCCAACCATACCACTCACACTGTGACTCCGCTCAGACACAAGTGACGACGACGCAGCCGCCTCGACCGCGACAGGGGAACGACCCGTCGACATAGTCGACGAAGCCGGGGGCATATTGGACCCTGCAGATTCATATCGAGAGCGAGGATCCTGCATTCCCTCCGCGCCATGGAACGACCGTGATCGTTGTTCGTTCCAAGAACCAACTCGATCCATCTCGGCCGTCGCCGTGCTCCTTCGGTAAGGGTCACTCGACCGCATAGGACCCGCTGGTGACATCGGGCCACTGGATCCTCGATGATGGCGCTCAGCACCGCCGCTGCCGTGTTCAAGGATGGGGTAAGGTGAGCTTCCGTAGCGAGACATGGACCGGATCGAGCTCTTTCTGGGGTCGTCATGCGGAGATGGTGGAGGATGGCCTCTTGACCAAGACTCGACCGGAGAATGAGGAGGCTGCATTGGTGATGGATCCTGTGGGTGGGGTGGTAAAGAAGAGGACCACGTTGGATGGCGGAGACGAGCGTCTTGCGAAGAAGGTGGTGGGTTGCTCCATCCCCAGTGTGCAGAGGGCGGACCAGATCGGGTGTGCCATTCTGCCTGTGCTGACTGAGGGCCAGGTGAGCGGCGGATATCCTTGGGCGAGGTTGGGTAGTCTGCAGGCAAGTGAGTTGCTGAGCGAGGACGATCTATTTCATGACGGTAGCCGCCTCCGTATCCTGGGCTACCTCGGGGGTACTCATCCACGGGCGATGAAACGGGTTCTTGAGTATATCCTTGTCCCTGTGCATGCCCCATCCACGATTCACCCTCGCGAACTACGGGTGCCGTTGCTCTCCTCTCCAGATGCTTCGTAGGTCGCATGGGCATGTTGCCGGTCTGGATCGTCAGTGGAGATGAAGGGCCATAGTTATAAGCCGAATGCGAGTATGATCGTGCGTGAGACTGTCCCGAGACCTCCTTGCCGCCTTCAGATGCTGCGACTGGGCGGTCGGCAAGGTGGACGAAGCTCATAGGAGTGGCGCTTGAAGAGTGTCTTGCATGTGGGCTACGCTCCTGGTCCTCCTTGTCAAACTTTGATGTTGAGTCCGAGGCTCGAGGTGTGGGGTGTGCCTCTTTGATAGCTGAAGCACTCGAGGCTGTAGCAGTAGAGACATGACCTGCGTTAGCGGCAGCGGTACTGATGGTAAGAGGACGCTCCCTTTCCTGCTCAGATACTCCGGTCGTTGAGGCCGCTTTGGCCTTGTTGCTGACGGTGGTTGGAGATTTTGGCGATGGGAGAGCAGGTGATGGATCTACCTTGGCTCCAGCGGCTGTAGCAGAACTAGTTGAGCTCTTTGATGTCGGTTTAGTCTCGTTCCCTGCGTTCTGATCCTCTGCATCTAAGTCGGGAAAGTCCTCGTCCTCCTCTAGCATGTCCTCTTCGTCGTCATCGCCGTCCTTCTCGCCTTGTTCTGCGTTTCCAGGCAAGGGACCGGGGTATCCACTACACCGATTATGGCCGAAATCCAGGCGCAAATGTCTCGTCAGGGCATCTTGGCGGACAAAGTTCCGGTGGCACTCTGGACAACTGTAAGGCTTGATTCTCCAGTGTGTACGCATGTGTCGATTGCAATCATGCAGCCTTGAGAAGGCCCTAGCGCTAATATTTTTGCAAAGGGGAAAAAAGGGGGGCAAGTGAGAGACAGAGAGAGAGAGAGGGAGAGTGAGAAAGACGTTCTGGGTTGGATGAGTTTCAATGCCTTCATCCTTTTGCAATGCTGCAATGCGATGAAACGGGTGGATGATACGATCTCGATTCAAGTAAGATTGAAATGCTGCACGGTTCCCCTTTTCCCCCCATTTGTCGTCTCTTCCTCGTTTGGTTTTCCTGCGTCTCTTTTTCCCTTCTTTTCCCACCTCGCTTTCATCATGCACAAAGGCATACCACGTTGTTCCTTTTTTCTTGTTGTCTTTGTCTCTGCCCAGTCTTCCCCGCCAGATAATCTGTCCCGCGCAAATAAAGTAAACAAAAACGCTGTCTCTTTCCTTCTTCCCTTGATACGATACTTGGCCAGGCCCTCGCTTTCTTTTTGTCCATTTTCATCTGGTCAGCTGTGCACCCCTGGGCATGCCATCGATTTTTTTTTTATCGCAAACGTCACGAACCAGCCTAATGCCCCTGGTCAAAAGCGCGCCCTGGGCTAGGGCCTCTCCACCTGATTTGTTCCAATGGCTGTGTGCCAGACACTAATCCATAATGCATAAAATGGAACGCCCATGTCTCTGTCTTTCATGTTCTTCAAGGTATACCCGGCCCCTTTCTCCTCTACCTTGGCATGCACCTGCCTCGTTTGCTTCATGTCTTGCTTAGCCTGTTTTACCCCCAATTTTTTTTTTCTTTCTCCATCTTCTCTCTCTTCCTCCCGCTCTTTTCCTTTTGTTTTGCACCATTCCCTGCAAAGATTCAATCCCGTCATTTTCCACTTACCAATGAGCAAAAGAACAGACAAATGGTCGTTCTTGCGTATGCGTCCGTTGGTGGGACTTCAGGTTGAAGGGACGCGTGAAATACTTGTCACACTCTGGACACTTGTGCTTCGCAGGCGTCGTTCGCTTCTTGCTGCTGCCATTGTTCACAACCACGCTGCCCGGAGGAGCCGGTACCAACACTGCCGATGACGAAGCTGCTGACGATGATGCTGCCGAAGCTGCCGATGATGCTGACAATGAAGTCGCCGCCACTGCCGGTACCGAACTTGTTGCTGGTGTCGTAGGTGTAGGTGCCGCTACAGATACTGGCGCAGACACAGGAGCGGTTGACTGGGATGGCGAATGGACGTTTGCACTGTGAGGACCTGCACTCAATGGAGGTTGGTTGCTCCTGTGGCCCCCAAAATGAGGAGACCCCATGTCGGTATGGATCGTGGGGCGTCCTCCTGGGGGTGGTGGCGGCCGGTGACGCATGTCATCCCATCCATAGGAGGCTTGGTCGTCCCTTGGATGCCCTCTGCTGCCTTCGCCAGGCCGTCCGTCACTGGCATCCATTGGACGAGGGAGAAGACTTGGCAAGGGCCGCGCCGAAAGAGATTGAGGGCGGCCACCAGGATTATGTTGCTGTTGGTTAGGTTGTGGCTGTTGCTGATGATGATACATTGAATCCTGGTAAGATCCGCTGCTGTGGTATCCTGTAGGATCGCCCCCAGAAGGAGCTCCTCGATGATGAGGATAATAGCCGGCCGAGGACGAAGATGACGAAGGCTGGTCGTGGTGACGCTGGTGCTGCTGCCGGTACCGTTCAGAGTCAGGGTCCTCCATATGTTGATCGACGCGATCTTTGTCAAGAGACTCGACATTCCTCTCGCGATATTCGAGGTGTCTCTTGCTTCCCTTGTGCACCATATCCAACCTATTGTGTCCTTGTTCCGAGTCGGGCTCCTTTTTCACGGGGAGGTGTATCATGTTGTTATTGGTGTTTTTGTTTGTGCTGTCTTTGTCAGCGGGAAGATCGTTTCTCGAGTGGTTCAGATGTCCGTTAGAGGACCCTGAATCCTGGCTGTTGTTGTTTGAGTAGGGTTCACCACTGTCGTGTGAGGGGTGGTGCTGTGGTTGATTCTGATGATTATGTTGTTGATGGTGTTGGGGCCAGTGGTCAGTGTGTGACGACGGACTGAAGTTGTAAGGCTTTAACCGCAACTGAGGGTCGAAACCTGCTTGGATGGGTAGGAAAAGGAGGATATTTACAATGTGGGATGGAGATTGAGGTAGAGTAAAGGGGAATATAAAAAAGCGCAATTGAGTTGTAGGAAATGAACGTGGGAAGACACAGTGATTTGAGCGAGAGGGAGGTGGTGAATATGTAAGAGGAAGAAGGTTGGATGGGTGAAGGAGTGAAGAAGGGTGAGGGTAGGGAGTGGAGGGAAGGAGAATGAGGGATGAGGGTGGGAATAAGAGGGGAGAGGAAAGGGAAGAAGGGAGAATGGAAAGAGGGAGAGAAGAGGGAGAATAAGAGAGGAGTGAGCAAACGAGTGGATACAAAGACAAAAAAAAGAATACGAGAACACAAACGAGAAAGCAGAGTAGAGCAAATATAAAATATGATAGGATTGGGACGAAAACAAACAAACAAACAAACAACAAACACGCAGGTGAAAACCATACAAACAAAATAACAGAAAAACAAAATAACGACAAGAAAGGGAGATGGGAAGAAGAAGGGAGGAAGGAAAACAAGGGTCCAGTTATGAAAAAGGGGCAGACATGAAGAAAGATGAGGAATAAAAAATAAAGGAACGAGAGGAACAAAAGGAGAAGGAAGAAAAAAAATAAAAGAGATCGATCGATATCGGATAACGGATCACGGATGCAATTGTCGTTGGTTCATGTGTTGTTGTTATTTGATGGTATGGTTGGGTCGGATGAAAGTGAAGAGAAAAAGGGGATGAGAGTAAAGTTGGAGAAGAAAAGAAACGAAACGGTTAGTGTCAAGAGCGAATGTTCCGTTTAGTAAAACGATGAAAGGAGAAGAGAACGAGAAGAGAGAAGAAAAAGAGAAATGGTGACAAAGCAAGGAAACACACACAGGAGAGAGTAGGAGGGAGAGAGCAGAGTTGTATGAACGACAATCACAGGGAATAAGGGAAAAGATGAGTAGAGGAAACATGAGGAGATGACAGCCATAGTAAACATACTGCCTGCCTGCATTGTGAATGAACGATGGACTACTACTCGATACACGAAAAACACAAACAAACAAAATAATATCCCATTGGAGTGAGCAGTAGCCGTTTTATTCATCTGAGCATTGCTTCTGTTTGTCTGATGCTTTGCTTGACTGGCTGCTGGGTTGCCTGTAGACTAACATCCCTCTCTCACCGCACTCGCTCTCCCTCTTGCTCTCTCTTGCGCTCGCTCGTGCTAGTCCGTTCTTTCTTTGTTCTCGCCCTCTCCTTGCTCCCCCCCTCTCTCTCTCTTCTTGTTCGATTTGTCCTTCGCTCGCGCCCATGCTCTCAGTCCTCTTATGTTTTTTTTCTTTCGTATGTGTCCATGCCCACTTTGTGCGCGTGCGTATGCAACTGCTCTCTTTCATTTTTCATTGCGGATGATCGGTCCATCGGTAGTGCTTATTTTTGGTCGAGTGTGTGTGGGTGTATGGGTGTATGGGTATGGAAAGAGAGAGGGGTGAGAGCGGAGGATGAGAAGAGGGTTGAAGGAGATTTGACACCTGGTAGTATAAGATTCAATTGCATGAATAACAGGTACGTTGTAGCAGCGGTTGGTAGGAGGTAGTAACTGCGAACAGGGATACAAAAAAGGAGAAGAAGTTGCGAATGAAGAACGGAATGAGAAGGAGGAAGAGGAGGAGTACGTACCCTGGGAGTTGTTGGTGTTGCTATTGTTGTTGGTGTCAGAGGTGTGCATGGTGGTTGAGGGATGTTGTTGTTGTTTTGAGGGAGAGTGGGGGCGATGCGAAGAGGGATGGTCCTGTGCTAGGTGCTGTGCGTGGTGCTGCTGCGTAGTATGCTGTTGTTGTTGCTGCGAGGAGTGCTGCTGCTGCTGCGAGTTTTGAGAGGAGTGGTGCAGTGGTGGCTGTGGGGCGGGCGATTGCGGTCTAGACCCTTGGAGATTATTATTACTATGTGTGGGATGTTCCTGTCGAGAGGAGGAAAGGGGCTGTTGAGGTTGCGGCGAATACAATGTATGCAGCTGATGATATTGCTGTTGTTGTTGCAGCTGCTGGGAGGAAGAGTACCGATACTGCTGCTGTTGCTGCTGTTGCTGCTGTTGTTGCTGTTGTTGCTGTTCCTGACGCAGTTGAAGATAACGCTGCTGTTGTTGATATTGGTGTTGTTGCTGAGGAGACAATCCAGAGGTTGAATTAATAGTGGTAGTGGTCGAGACCGCGGAGTGTAGGACGGGCTTGACGGAGAAGCTGACGGATTTGACCATGTGGGAGGTAGTGGTGACTTTCCTTTTGGCGTTTCTGGGCTCGGACGAGACAAAGGCGGCGGTATGGTGTCGGTGACTGAATGGGGTCGTCGCAGCAGACGAGGAGAGAGTATGGGAAGGAGGTGACAGGAGGACGCCAGAGGGGACACGCACAGCCGAAGCTGGAGGAGTTGGAGGCGTCGTTGTTGAGGTCGTCACTGTGTTGGTGGTGTTTCGGTTGGCGTGGGGGTGGGTGAAGAGGGAAAAAAGAGGGTCGGAAATAAAGAGTACTTTATGACGAGACTCTTTTTTAATTTTGGTTGTTGGTGGGTGCTGACTGTTGTTGGGAGAAGAGGGGGGAAGAGACAGCGGAGGGATTGGTATGGGTGGGTGCCGAGGCTGTACTTGTTGTTTTGCTGTGTAGGAGGCGCGAAGTTAACGAGTGCAGCTCAAAGCACACAGGCAGGCCGGGGTTACAAAAAATTGGAGATGTAGTTATTGTTGTTATTGTTGTTGTTGTTGATGATGGTTGGTTGGTTTAACCGACAGAAACTGTTTTGCCGAGGGAAGAAAAGGAAGAGAGAAAAGGAAGAGAAGGAAAGGAGGGGAGGAGGGATGGAAGAGCGAGGGATGGAAGAGCGAGGGAGCGTACCAGGATGAGGGGGGGATGAGATAAGAGGATTGGCCGGGAGACGGGAGATTAAAAAGAGATGGGATGTATGAAAAACAAAGAAGGGAGAGTGGTTTATGGAGACAGAGAGAGAGTAAGGGAGCGAGAAAGTAAATAGTAAAGAGAAGAAAGACGGCGATGGGAAAGGGAGGAGCCGGGATGGAGACCCTTATTCGTCTGTCTGTCTGTCAGGGATTATTATTAAAAAGAAGAGGAGGGGAAGAAAATAAATGCAACAAAAGTGGAGGTTGAAAAAGGAGAAATGGGAAGAGAGGAGAAGAGGAGAGAGAAGAAGGGAAGGGAAGGAAGGGAGGGAAGGGAAGGAAGGGAAGGAAGGAAGGGAAGGAAGAAAGGAAGAGAGGGCGCAAAGGGAGGAAAAGGTAAAGAAAAGAAAAAAGAAAAAAAAAGAAAACCTGTAAATGCGGCTGTGCGGACACACGCCAGCCAAACCAGGTGAGACTGAGAGAGAGTCGATTAGAGTAAAGGGCAAATCAAATAACAAAAAAAGTAAATAAAGACGATGCGATAGTCGATATGAAGAGATGATTTCCTCTCCTTGTTTATGTTGTTTTACGAGTGTGGTTGGATTGTAGAGTTGTGTATGTGTCCAAGTGTATCTGTGTAGTGAGCTCACAAACTGAGATAGAAAAAAAACAGACTGCGAAAGGAATGGGTAACGAGAACGAGCGAGGACAAGAACGATAGAGGGGCAGAACGAGAGCCAAGAACAAACACAACAACAGCGCCACTTTCTCTTCTTCGAGAAAGATGATGTTGACAACAAACAAATGATGATGGCAAAAGACAAAAAGAAACACCGCCTTTCCACGAGATGAGATGAGGGATGACGAGGCGAGCAAGAAAGAGTGGATGAAGATGAGATGAGAGATGTGGAGGCCAGAAGGAGTGGAAGGAAAAAAACAACAGGAATGAGAGACGGGAATAAGGGAAGAAAGTAAATGAGTAAGGAAGGCACCATATGGAGTATGGACCTATTGCTCGTAGTAGCTCAGCAGGGGTCGAGTTGGAAGGGAAGACGAGGAGAAGGTTGGGGATTAAAGCATGCATTGCGGACGACTATAGTAAAAAAGAAGGAAAAATGCAATGCTGCAAGAAAACAGGATTCAATTGATTCACGTCTTTCTTAATTTACTCGATTCAATTCAATCCGCCGTATTATAAACCTCATTTCTATGGCGGAAGGCAGGGTAAGAATCTCATGTCCTGTTGCTATTTTATTTATTCTTTTGTGTCTGTGTTTTGTTATGTGTATGTATGGTGAGAGCCAAAAGAACACTCTCTCTGTCATTCATTTTTAACCTATTTCCTTGTGGTGTCCATTATATTTTACTCAGTCATTGGAGAAGGACCTTATCCATTGTCGACTCATTGGTGTCGTGTTCGCCAGTAGAAGATGGTGACGCGCTGGTAAATCTCGCTGGAGGGTGGGGCGTAGCAAAGAGTTACAACGTGCAATGTTCCATCAGTTGACGCGTTTAGACTCACTTACTGATCAAAGGCGCGAAATAGAATACACGCCGGTCATTAAAACAAGTACAACAATCGGCGACCCTACTTTCACTGACGCGTCTGCAAAAGTAGCAGCACGACCCTGGATGATACAAAAAGAAACATTAACAACCATCATTCACAGCCTGCCATAAATTTCTTCTGCTTCTTTTTCGAAATTTTCCATTCTTTCTTCTTTTTCACCCTTTTTCGAAAGGGAAGGCATGGATGGACGTTTACAACAAAAAACCAAAACATTGCAGAACATAGTCGCCTCCTTCTTTTCGTCGTTCTTTTCTCGCACATACGTACATACATACACATTCACTCAACGCAACGCATAAACATAGAACCA